GCAGAGCAGAGGGGCTTGGGGGGGCCCCTGCTACAGCCCCACCTTCAGCAAGTTGAGCTTGGCCAGGTCACCAACCACCCACTTACACATCTCTGCGCACGTCAGAGAAAAGACATCCTTCTGCTTCCTCTGCCCCCACGCTCCCAGAGCTGTGGGCATACAGGACCAGGGTGGGGGGCATGGTATAACGCAACACTGGAGGAATCTGCTCTTTGTGGGCTCTGTCCCTGTCCTTCCTCCTCCTCCCTGCAGCAGCTCTGGGCTCGCCCTTACCCCAGGGCTCCCAGCTCTCCGCCGAGGGCTGATGCAAAGAGAAGAGGCTGCAGAGAGGCGAGGCGGAGGAGAGGGGAGGCTGGAGCTGCTCCTGTGACCCTGCACCTCCTGCCCTGGGGCGGGCACACCGCAGTCCACGTCTCCTTGAACCATCCTCCGTGTCCGTGGCAGACAGCGAACTGCCCGCGTGCTGCTGGGTGGGCGGACAGCCCCAGGAAGAAAGGTGGCTGTGAGCCCAGCCATCCGCTTTCATTATTTGCTTAGCGCGGGGGTGATGTTTTCTGGAAACCAATCGCTGTCTCCTTTCGCTACCTGAGGTGTGCATTTCCAAAAAGCATGTGACAAGGCTGCAGCAGGGCTGATGGCCAGCCAGGGTCCGCAGCACGAGGTGGGGGCCATTGGCATGTCCCCCCATCACTGCCCGGGCAGCTGGGTTGCAAACCTGCTTCCCCTGGCTTGTCGCATGGCTGGGCCGGGGGGCGGTTTTTTTTTAAAGCCGGATCCGCTATCCCAGTTACTCCATCCCCAGGCACTGCAGATTTCGTACCTGCCACCACGTGCAGGCTCCACGCTGGCAAGGGTCACCCTGCAAGCAGGCGGTGATCCTGAAGTGGGGCCACAGCGAACAGGGTGGAGGACTCCGTAATGAAACACGTCTCCGTGTGCTCGCTGTGGTGATTAAAGGAATGGAGAAAGAAACCCTAGTCACTCTTCATAAAGAGAGACGTGAGGAAAGGACTGCCCGTTAAAACCCGCTCTGTATACAGTTTTCCGTAGTAACAGGAAAATTAACGTGTGAAGCCTGTTGTGTTTGTATCAATACAGAAAAAGCAACCTCAGTGCCTTGATGTACCGAGTACACTGTGACCCGTTCCCAAGGACACAGCTGCTGAGTCAAGGAATACTTTTTTTTAAATAAAACACACAGTAAGAAAAAAAAGGCTGGAGCACTTGCTGGTGAAGACTGAGCCAAAAAAGTCATTGAGTACCTCAGCCTTCTCCATGTCCCGGGTAACCAGGTCGCCCGTTTCCTTCCAGAGAGGGTCCACATTTTCCCTAGCCTTCCTTTTATCACCAATCTACCTACAGAAGCTTTTCTTGTTGCCCTTGACGTCCCTGGCCAGATGTAATTCTGTCAGGGCTTTAGCTTTCCTAACCTGATCCCTGGCTGCTTTGACAATTTCTCTGTATTCCTCCCAGGCCACCTGTCCTTGCTTCCACCCTCTGTAGGCTTCCTTCTTGTGTTTGAGGTTGTCCAGGAGCTTCTTCTT